CTATTGGTGAACTGGAAGTCTGTCTTTGTGTCTTGCTTAAGTGTTTTCTAATTTTTATTTTTGTTGTTGGGTTGTCCTTGGTTTAATTTATGGATTATTAATTAAATCTTCCAGCTATATTTGTGCTTTGGCTTTTGAGTCTGTAATAGCTCACAGACATTTTCATTTTCATAATATCAGAGGGGAAGGCTGTTCATTTTATGGCACGTGAGAAGCAGAGACACAGAGCACCTTACAGAGCCAGAGAGGAGGAGGCTGGGGATAAGATGCAGTCCCAGGGCCACACCCCATGGCCCACTCCCTTCAGTGAGGCCACCTTCTTCATTTGCAGTAGCTGCTAATAACAGTGTCATCAAATCATGATCTTGTGAATGGATTAATCCACAGATGAAGTTAGAGTCCTCAAACACAATCATCGTCCCAAAGCTCCGCCTCTGAATACACATGACATATGACGGACACTTCCAATCCAAATCATAACACCTGCAGACTGGATTCCTCACTGATGAAGAAAGCTTCATTCATTTGGAAATGAGACTGCACTGTGCTCTATCTCCTCTCATTCAAAAAGTTTAATAGTGAAAATCATCCTTAAATCTCCCTTTCTAATTTATTTCAGTATTCTCTTTTTATTATCATTTTTAACATTCTCTTTTCATGCGTTTCTCCTACCATTTGACTTCTGTTCTGCATTACTTCTAGATCTGCAAACACTGCCTTAAATGCATGGTAAGTTGATTTTTGCAAAATTAATGATTGTCCTTTATGGCAGTATCTGTATCTTCATAGAATACAACTAATGGCATAGCTATATTTTATTTCTACCAGCAAATTTCTACTAGTAAGTTCAAGAGTTGGATGATTGCATCAAACAGACACTGTATGTGTGTGTGTATGTGTGTGTGTGAGAATAACAGTTAAGAATTAATCTAGATCATCTAGTTTAGATCTGGTGTGATGTTGATGTTGGGTGAATCATTTAGCCTTTATTTGCCTCAGTTTGTTCATGTGTAAAATGGGAAGAGTCAATAGCACCTATCTCACAGTGTTTCAGTGACAATTAATGGAGTTTGTACACAAGGATTGTTTGGAACAGTGTCTGGCCCCGAGTAAGGAGGACATAACTGATTACTGTTATATAATAGTACAAGTTCTTGATATTCTCACTATAATCCTCACAACTCAGCTCTAGATCAGCACTTTCTAATACAAACATGTAGATCATATGTGCCATTTAAAATTTCCTAGCAGCCACAGGTTAAAAAAAAAGACCACATGAGATTAATTGGAACACTGCCTATTTAATCCAGTATATCAAATACTTCAATATGCCATTGATATAAAAATCATGAGCAATTATACACTGTTGTACTGTGTCTGAAATCTGGTGTGTATGTTACTTGCAGCACATCTCAGTTTGGAGTGGCCATTGGTAGGTGCTCAGTGGCCACATGTGGCTGTGGCTGCTGTCCTGGACAGTGCAGAACCAGACCTTCAGACATGAAGATGAGAATTTCGACATAGTATTGCTTTTGTCATGGACAGCTTATGCAATTATGTTGGCAGAGCATTTAGGAGTACTGCTGAGCAAGGAATAGGGTTGGGCTCAGGAAATTTTGAGAGGAGTCTGGAGCTTCTCTCTGGTGCTCCTCCAGCTGCAGTGGATGGCTTTCCTGTCTGGCACACACAGCTCCCAGAATCGGCTTCCCAGCATGGAGCCCACCCAAACAGGCCTTTGGGTTTGAACATTCCTGTGCATTCTGTCTCTGGTTCCCTCAAGACATTAGTGTGATGAAGTTTCAGTCAATTCTTAGTATTTTAGTAGTTATTTTCTAGAAAGTTCCTGCAAACCCTGAATTAGCACATATCGAACCATTTCTCTTTGGGAAAATACAGGATTAGTTTCCTGTAATCTTCTGGTTGTAATATTTTCACCAACAGGTTAGTAGAGTACCTTATTTTATGTTTTTTTTCCACTTAAAGACACTTAAATACATCATTGGTTCTTTAGCATTGAACTAGTTCAATGTCCTATCTGAATGAAGCTTATCTAATATATATACATACATATATATATATATATATATGTATATATATGTGTGTGTGTATGTATATGTATATCTATATCTATCTATCTATATACACATATATCTGTCTGTCTATCTTTCATCATTGTCAGCTTCACATTTCAGCACTATGCTTGGGCTCTTAAACAGTAAAATAACCAACTACAAGCACAAAAATGTTGGAAACATAGCCATAAAAAGGCTTATAAGGACACTAATTTTACAGTACAAAAAATGAAACAAGAAGGCAGAATGTTGTCACATTTGACTAAGTCAGGTGACTCCGTTTTTTTTTGCACTGTAGATTTCTTTCTTTTTTTTTTTTTAATAGGGTTGGCTTTGCAGCACAGGCTGGCCTTAACTCATTGTCAAGCCAGCCTGGCCTCGCACTGGCAGCAGTACTCCTTCCTCAGTCTCCCGAGTACTGGAATTACAGGAGTACACCACCTGCCTGGATTGCACTGTGCATTTCTGTGAATGGTCATGAAAACATTTTACTGAGCAGGCATATCTGTGATTAATGAGGTTTGTCTGTATTGTTTGCTGAAATCTGCATCTTCATAGATGCTTTCAGTGTACACTGGTGGGCATCTAGGGAGCCACTGGGCTCTCCCAAACACCATCCCTTGAATGTTTGTACATGGTGAGCTGCCAACCTGAGGTAGCGCAGCCCAAGGAGGGTGTCTTGGGTTTGGCTGGGTAGTCAGAAGATGGGCCAGCATCCTACTGGGAAAAAGGCAATAGCAAGGGGCCTGTGGAGTGGAATCTGCAGCGCCCCTAGGGAGGCTGTGAGCTTGACAGTGGAGGTGTTCGAGGGAGAGCCGGACATCAGCCATCAGCCGGGAAGGCGTTGAAGAGCCCAGGACACTTGGGTGAAGGGGCTGGGGTGCCCAGAGTTGCTTTTCCTTGGGAGCTGGCTGTGTAGGGTATAAACAGATCATTCTGGGACAACATCACAAGGTTCTGAGTGAAGACAACCTACTGGCTCACACTTCAGCATGCTGCACACACACCGTGACCGATTATGCAAGAGTTTTTTATATTTTCTTGCAGTACTCATCATTAATCAAATTGACTTAGCTTTTCAAATTTGCCAGGATCTTACCCTTTGTCTTTTTTGTCAAACCATTTTTTATTTGAAACAACAGAATACATATATATCTGTTGCAGATGATTTTAATTCCGTCAAGAAAACAATAGCATAGTTAAGATATACAGCAATTCTGTTAGTTAAGTTTACCCACGACACAGAACGCTCCTTAGGATAAAATCTCAAACATTGTAGTTTACTTGTAAAAACAGAGATGTGTTTAGCCTTTTTTTGTGTTACACCATCCCATTTCATGGTATACAGTCATTAACCCTGTTCTTCTTCTTTTTTGGGGGGGTACTGGGGATGGAACTTGGGACCTTGTGCTCGCAAGTCAGGCAGTGGAACCACTGAGCTAAATCCCTGGCCTCCCTGTTTATTCTTTCTACTGCGAGTATTGTCTGGTTACATTGCCAAGCTGGAGCTGTTTCTCCTTTTTATTCTATGTGAATTCAGCCTCATGTCATTGTTTCTTCCCATCTAATTCCAAAGCACTGTTCACAACCCACCTATACAGGAAAATATATTTATATTCTGAGCAAAATTAACAGGTTACAGTGAGTGTATTTCCCACTTTATTGCATCTTTGAAAAGTAGGGAAGGATATAGATGAAGAGTGAAAAAAATAATACCTGGAGTGACATAATATAATGAGAAAACAAATAACCAAGCTGGAAAAGTGTGCTAAGAAATCAGAATCTGAATGAGATAAAAGAACAGTTGATCTCACAGGAGTAGTGAGTGGAATAATGGTTGCTAAAAGCTGAGAAGGATACAAGGAATGGAGAGAGTGTGGTCAAAGGGTTGCAGTTGGATAGAATGCCTCCTAAAACTCTGTGGTACAATAAGGGAAGTGTGGCTGAAAACAGTTAACTGTGTAATAAGTCCTGGATTTACAAACGAGTTTTGTTCTGGGAGAATGTTTGTAAGTTGGATTTGTTCATCAGTCCAACAAAGTGAGTCTTATACACCTCTGACACAAATATACATTGTGAAGCATAAAAAAGCCAAATAAACACAAAAACACTGGAAATAAACTATTTTTACTTTTGTAGTTTGTATTCTTTAGAATTGTGCTAAGGGTTGAACAATTCACATTATAAGAACAAGCAGTGTCTGCCATCTTTTTGCCTCAGTCCAGTCTCTCAGTTACTTTCACTTTTGTTTCCATGATTATTGCTCTGCGCTTCCTAGCAGTCCCCTCCACATCACCACTGCTTTTCCTCTTGCTCTAGACAGCCTGGGCTCTGAGTGAGCTCTGTACTGCTGTGCACTTGCACACTGTGCAGGGAACACCCAGCAGCACAGCTGTGACAGTGTCTGGAAGACGTGGGAGCTACTTTGGTGACCTGTAGTCTACAAATGTCTTACTGTGACACCTGTTTGTATCTGTGAAAGTTTGGAACTTGAATGTTCGTAAGTTGAGGACTTACTGTATGTCAAAATAACTCATAGAGAGTCTTTTGAATGCCCCCAACATAAAGAAATGATAAATATTTGAGGTGACAGATATGCCAATTACTCTGATATGATCATTATATATGGCATATATGTATTGAAATATCACACTGTACCCCATAAATGTGTGTCAAGTAAAATATGGAAAAGGTAAAGTTTAGACAAATTCGTGCAACATAAAGATGGCTGTTTTTATTGGAGGCAATGGTATGAAATAGAGAAAAGTATCCCATAACTCTTAACACTAACAGGCCTCTGTGTCACCTCTTCTGTAGTGCAGTATAAGGTGGTGGCCAGGAAGGAGTGCACTGCAAGCCAGACTGAGGAGTAAATTCCAGGTCCACATTCTTGGCAGAGCAAGTTACTTACCCTTTGTACTACTTTAGTGTTTTTCAGTTGCACATTGGCGTGTGTGGGCGATACATCTACAGTGATGAGCTTCGTATCCGAGGGAGGTGAACGCCCGATTCAAACATGTATTTCTTCATACATTTCTCTGTCATCTTTGGAGTTTCTGGTCTAGTGAGAGGCGCAGACAATCAAATGCAGGTAAGAAGTAAAACCACAGAAGGCTAGGAGAGCTTCAGACAGAGCTATCCTGGTCTGAGAGCCAGGGAAGATTCTCTAAGACACGGGATGAGAAATAAAGGGGCCGATGGGGGTGAGGAGACAGCTGAGCATAGGGAGTGTCCTAACAAGAGGAACTGTGCCCACAGCATCTCTGAGGGAGTGGGGATTGTGAGCTTTCTTGGGGAGCTAATGGTTGAGCATTGTGGTAGGAGCATTAGGAGTTAGCCAGGGAGTTGTGAGAGATGAGCCTGGATAGGTTGGTAGAGATTGCATCACACAGGCCTTCTCCTAAGTGCAGTGGAGAATAATTGCTGGACTTCAGGCTGGGTGGGGACATAAGCTTCTATGATGAGCACAGAATAGAGGGACAAGAGGGCACAGTGGCTCTTGCTGTCCTTCCAGTCATGATGATCATGAGTGTCACGGACATTAGTAAAAGAGAAGAGTGGAGAAATCTGGGGGATATGGAGGAGGTCAAATTGGCAGGGCTTTGTGCTACTCTGGAAATGACAGTTGGAGAAAGGGCTGGTATGAAGCACAAATTCTGATGTCCTGGGTTGGAGACTTAGCATGCAGCGATTCATTGCAACAGGTGCTCCTGGAAAAGTACCAACTTTGAAACGTCATTCTGTCCTTATTCCCATGCAGATGTATTTCACAAATCTTAAACCGGAATGTACATTTTGTCTAAAATCTTATTTGTGCTCATGAAAGAGCAGTAATATTCACATGCATATGCGTATGCAAATGTACATCAAAGTATTAGTTTTGTCATGATTGGTTGACACTAGTTAAAACCTTTAGCTTTATTATAAATTTAATTAATTTGACAATTTTATGTTATTATTATTTCTAAAAATCTGTCTTATCAGCTTCTTTCATAGTTGGGTTTCTAAATGACTGTTAGGTGTCAGTCCTCTGATTAGCATTTATTTTCCTCTCACAGCCTATGGATTGAAGTGATGATCTTTGGAATTAGTATCACATCCAAGGCCTTGAGTCGCCGTCATCCTTCACCTTTGTCACTTCCAAGGGTATTGCATATTCTTGGTTTTGCTTCTGTTGCTCTCTCTCTCTCTGTGTCAGATGTAAACACTCCTGCTCCCTCTAAATCCCCCATTCCTTAGGACCTCCTTGAACCATTAGTACCTCCCTTGAGCTTTTCTGTATCTCTGAGAAAATAGTTTCCAAGCTGCCTGCTTATAGTGTAGTTTACAGAATAGAGACTTGACTTAAAGTTAACTGGCTCCTACCACTCTCTTCCTCTAGAGCGAGTGCTTCTGAACTGTTTTGAACCATCTTCCCTATCAGTAGACACGGTTGAGTGTACCCTCCGACTTGGGCTCCCTGAAAAGCGGATCCTGAGTTGAGGAGTGATCTAAGGTGGGAGGTAAACCAGGCAGGGGTTTAATGGAGTGAGGGATCCACAAGCAGCCGGCTAACTTCTGCTGGGAGAACGTGCCTCACTATCATTACACATGAAGACAAAGATGCCGGGGAGATTGCCCTGTGTCCCCCAAATTCATATGTTGAAAACTGACCCCCAATGTAATGGTATTAGAAGGCCGAGTCTTTGGGGAGTTTTTAGGTACTGAGGGTGAAGCCCTTTGGAATAAGGACTCATATAGCAGAGACCCTAGCACATGCTCTCGGCCTCCTTCAGCCATGTGATGACACAGCGGGGAGTCAACAGCCTGAAACCCAGGAGAAGCCCTCCCAGAGCCTGACCACATCGGCACCTGGGCAAATGTCCAGTCTCCAAAGGTGTGAGAAATAATATACATGGTTTAAGCCATGACAGTTTGTTCTAGCAGCCCATACTAAGACATTTTCCATGGTTTCCAAAGTATTTTGACATTATCCATGGTTGAGGGCTGCTTCAAGGAACATTGGGTCCCAGCCCCTCTCTCCTGGTTTTGTCTGTTCTGCAACTGGACCCAAACCCCCAGCAGTCAGGAAGCTTCAAAGCAGAGAGCTGAAGACACTTAAAGTTGAAAAGGCACTACAGCAGTGTCTCCCACCCTAATATTAATGGTGTCCCAACCCCTGTGTAGTAGACTATTTTCTTATGTCTTAAGTCATATACAAGGATGAAAGCTTCTCTTTCCTCCTTCAAAAACAGGAGGACATGGAAAGAGAATTATCAGAGGATAGTGTTTTAAGCCTCTTTTTAAAAATTAAATGTACTTAGTGTTTCTAGCTAATATATTTTAATAGTTAAACATATTAAAAATCAGAGCCTAGAATTTATAGTGAGTGTGGAAGAAATAAAGTGAAAAAAAAAATGTTCCCAATGCTCTGGAGTCTGGCAGGTTTAAGCCCCAGCAGCAGGAAAGGTTAATAAAATCTTCTTGTGGAATATGGGAAGCATTAACCACCTAGTGGAAAAAGGAGAAATTTCTCATGAACAATGAAATGGAAAGGCTGCTTACTGAAGAACCCGGAATTTGGATGGGATCTTAGTTTAAGAATGTATTTTCTGGAGTCTTAAAAAACCATCAAAAGTCTATTTTATATGAAGCATACCCACTGAGGCAGCCTCCTTTAAGTCTTTCCTAATACTGAAAATAAAACTGGCCCTTTTGTCCTATTTTCCATATGATTGCATTGCACGCTGTCCCTCTGGCTGTTGCTTATTACATCTCTCTTCCCCTGTCCTACTCACTTCCAGCACTGGCTGCTTCTTAAGATGATGTGATTTTTGGATCTGTGGAGCTTGTTAATTTTTAAAGAAATGAATCAGCACTAACAACGCCTGATTTATAAAGCATTAGGTGATTTGTGGCCCACACACATGCAAAGTATTTTGACTTGAGGAAAAGAATACAGATTATTTTATTCACCTGCATAATTCCTATCACCAATAACATTTTGAAGTCAAAGGAGGTAAAGTCTTGGTGGGCTTGTGTTACTTGAAATTACTCCCAAGAACAAAATTGGATCACTCACTGGCTGTTTTTCTGTTTCCAAATCATATTTCCAGCAGAATGCCAGTGGAGTCCAGCAGTTTAATTCATTATTATCCAAAGTCCAAGTGAGTGAAATTTTAATCTCTGCTTCTAACCACTTCATATTGGTTTTATCTGTAATTAACTTAGTGAAAGGAATCTGATGACAGATTATTCCTTGCGCACCAATTACCTAACTTATGAGGTTCTCCAAGGAGTTCAGTTTAACCACTTTCTGCTGGAAAGTGTCATGTGGTAGGGCAGGAATATTAAGTGGGAAGACTAGGTGTTTAAACAAGGAATCCCAAAGGGTGTTATTGGATGAGCCCACAGAGGGAATGTTTGTTCAGGCTTGACTGGTGTGGTTAGGTCTGGGGCAATGTAGTGGTCAAAAGAACATAGGACTGAAACCAAAATTAGCTTCAAAGGAACTTAAATCCTTTACAACCCTCAAAAGCAATGCCTTTAAAGATTCATTTTCTGTCTCCCTTCTCATCTATTGTGAGTATCCCCTGGAGTTGTACCTGAGCTCTTATTTCCAAATATCCTCCACCTGGGAAAATTCTACCCCAAAACCCATACTTTCAGTTCCTGTGATTTTTTTTTCCTTATCAAGTCCTAACGAATCAGTCTGACAAAGATGAGAACTGTTTTGAAAAAGACAAAGGCAGAGTAGGGAAAGCTAGAATCCTTTTTATAGGGTTGAAAGAGCGAGTCAAGGGACCCTCAGAAAATAATCTTTGTGTTTAGTGTACATCGGCCCCCCTCTTACCTGAGAAGGATTTATTCTAAGATTTGAAAAAGATGCCCGGAATCACAGACAGCACTAAGCACTGTATATTATGTTTTAGCCTCCTCAAGCCTACCCATGATGAAGTTTAATTTGTAGAGTAGGCACCGTGAGAGATAAACAACAACAAATAAAAATAGAACAATTATAACAATGCACTGTAATGAAAATTAAGCCTGTGTGGTCTCTTTCTGGTTCAAATATCTTTTTGTACTGTATTTGCCCTTCTTGTGATGGTTACACGACGAGATAAAGTAAGGTTACATCGGCCTTGTGACACAGCATTACCCTGCTATGTAAAGGGTACTTGGACACAAGCACTGTGATACAGTCTTATATGATAACTTGGACAGCTACTGTGGGACTTATAGTGGGTGGCATGGACAGTGTGGATATGTGAGATAAAGGGATGATTCAGGACCTGGGTAGGATGGAGCAGAACACCGTAAGATTTTATCATAGTACTTAGGAATGTGCACAGTTTAAAACTCCATTTAATGGTTTATTTCTGATATTTTCCTTTTGATATTTTTGAGCTCAGTTTACCACAGGGAACTGAAGCTATGGAAAGCAAAACTGTAGTTAGGAAAATTCTTCTTCTGAGAGCACCACGAGGCATTTTATTAATGGCAAATATGATTGACCTTCAGAACATCTTCCACAAGACATGGTGGGGTGTGTCCTATGTATGAGTCTGTCTTTAATGAGTTCTCCCTAAACCCTTTCTGAACTTACTTATATTTAAATTTGTGCTACTCCTGAATTCCTCTATGATAGACAGTTTGAGAATTCTCAGACTTGCTGGGTATCTCTATATTCTTCTGTATTCTAACTCTGATTCTATGTATATATTTCCAGATTTCAGAGATGTTGAGGGGGTCCGAATGTTTGTTTTTCCCCCCACATTCATGTAGTGAGACCCTGAAAAACAGCTTTAGGAGTTGGTACTTTTGGAAAGTGAATAGGCCAGGAATCTGGATCTCTCAGGTAATAGATCAGTGCTCTTATAAAAGGGACCAAAGAGAGCTCTCTTGCTACTTTTGCTATGTGAGGACACAGAAAAAAGATGGGAGTCTGTGACCTGGAGGAGGGCCCTCTCCAGATCCAAACCATGCTGTGCTCTGATCTTTCAGCCTCTAGTACTGTGAGAAATAAATATCTGTTGTTTATAAGCCATGCGGGGTATACTGATTTTTATGATTGCCCGAAGGGACTATGCCAGACTTCATTTGCTCTTTAAA